CCAGTGCTCCAGTGTGGGTCTCTGTCTCTATCTCCATCCATCGCCAGATGAGGGTTCTATGATGTACTCACTCATAATTGGTTTCTAGCCATAAATAAAGGTCAGTGAGTCTATAATTTGATATCCTAAAGAAGCTAAATAAGAAGGTGAACCCAAAGAAAAACATATAGCTATCCTCCTGGGTAGGGGAAGTAGACAAGATTGCCAGGCAAAAAATCGGGATCTTAAGCGTGGGGTGGGAGGGGGGTAAGGGGAGATGGGGAGAGAAAAGTGAGAAGGGTAGGATGGGGAGAACTTGGGGCAACGGGATGATTGGGATAAAGGAACGTTGGATAGGGGAGCAGGGAAGCACATATCTTAATTAAGGGAGCCATCTTAGGGTTGGGAAGAGACTTGGACCTAGAGGGGCTTCCAGGTGCCCAAGGCGAGGTCCCCAGTTAGTTCCTGGGGCAGCTGAAGATAGGGAACCTGAAATGATCCTATCCTATAGCCATACTAATGAATATTTTGCATATCACCTTGCCATGTTTCTTAAATGACTGTTGTGGTTGAGATCAGAATGTCTGTCACAGTTTAATGCACGGAGGGAAGATCGATTGCCATTTGGCAGTGCTATTTCGGGAGAATCTTGATGTTAAGAGGTTAGCTGGAGAAAGTAGGTCACAGGGCATATCCTGATGGCTACGTCTGACCTGGTCTCATCTCTGCATTCTTCCAGCTTCTTGTTTGCCACCAGGTGATGAAACACTTGCTGACTCCCACCCCCAGCCCTTTCACTGCTGTGCCTTTCTGGCCATTAACCAATTATTGAACCGTTTGAAATTAGGAGCAAAATAAATCAGTCACTCATTAGTTTGCTCTCTCTAGTATTTTGATTATGTTTATAAAAAGTAATTGATAATAATCAATCATAATATGTAATTAATACTCCTTATTGTTTATGTCTATGTCAGCTAATGCATTTTTGCAATTTCTTATTTTCTTTATTTGATCTCATTGTATCATAACTGTTTATCCTAGTAAAATGCAAATATAATGTACTGGGAACAATAGAAATGGCTCAGAGATTAAGATCACTGGCTTGTCTTGCAGAGGATCCCATGCCTTCTGGCATTTTCTGGAACCAGTCTGCAAGTGTTGTACAGACATACATGCAAAATGTCCATATACATTAAATAAATAAAATATAAAGAACTTTTCAATTATTTGATGAATTTAAATTTTACATGTTATATTTTCTTTTTTTTTTCTTTTTTTTTTTTTTTTTTTTTTTTTTTTGGTTTTTCGAGACAGGGTTTCTCTGTGGTTTTGGAGCCTGTCCTGGAACTAGCTCTTGTAGACCAGGCTGGTCTCGAACTCACAGAGATCCGCCTGCCTCTGCCTCCCAAGTGCTGGGATTAAAGGCGTGCGCCACCACCGCCCGGCATATGTTATATTTTCATCAAGGTAACAAAATATCCAATGTTTAAATAAAATTGAACTCCTAAAATACCTTTAAATTTTTTAATAAATCAAAAATTATTTACAAGTTGTTGACATTTTCTTAAGCATTGTATGGGATGGAGACACTGAAAGTGTCGATAAGAGGTAAAACATTAGTCTCTTCTGATGTGAAACTGTATGATCACCAGAAGGGGAAATGCATTAGAAAAATAATTCTGAAATAAAGGTATAAATAATGTCCCATGTGAACAGTAGGGTAGTTCATTATTTTTACATGGGGAAGTTAAGGCAGTTCTTCCTGGGGCAGATGGCATTTCATATAGATCTACAGCCTGAACAGGACTCTCCAAAAGGAAAATAGGGTTTGTGAATATCTGGTCGTCTGCAGAAAAAGTAGAGTGCTTAGATATTCATATATAACCTCATACATAGATTTACTGTAAACAGAGGCCTTAAAAGTGCTGAATGACAGGGATGTTGTGGCAGCAGTCTGAATTACTATGCTGTTGGTGACATTCATGTTTTTCCCAAAATTATGATTCACTTTGAATAAAATTATGAACAAATCAAATGTAATTTCTCTGGATTTTTATTTTATTTGTGGTTAGAAACATTTGCAAATTGTATTTATATGCAAACAGAGGTGGGTTCTCAGTTCACATAATTATAAATGGATTTATTAAGTAAATTAATATCTGGTATTATATTTAGAGGTCACACAAGACTCTCCTCTTTGTAGTATACCTGGCACCCACCAGCTAGGCACCTTCATGTTGGTGTGTTTCATTAGTAACCATTGTACATACTATTTTCTTTGATAACCTATTCCACAGAATATAGACATTCCATCGAAGTATTGTAAGTTCTGTTCCAGACTGCTGCATTAAAATGAATAGCTTAGTAAAATTTTCCAAGTTATTATTTTGTTTCTAGTGCATTAGAAATTTTATGTTTATTTTATATTTGATTGAATGTGCAACTCATGTATACTATGTGTGTGTGTTGCTAAAATGCTTGCAATCATCTGAGTCTTGGTAAGTTGTTACCTGTGTTGGTAGAGATTTTGCTTCAGTGGTGATAGAGGCTAAAGTTTGGGTGACTTTACCGGTTTCTTAAATAAGGCAATTAAAATCTGTTGCATTAATTGACTCTTGTAAGATTTTTTGCTTGATATGGTGGCATACACCTGTAATCTCAGCACTTGAGAGTCAGAGACAGGAGGATAGCTGCAAAGTTGTGACGACCTCCAGTGCAGAATCAGTACCTGTCTCAAATAAAGGAAACAATAACATATGAAAGGAAACAAAACATCATCATCAGAAAAGATTTCTTTGTTGAATGCAGTCTGCTGCTATTATGTTACCAAGAGTAAAACTAAAAATTGTAGACCAGCTATCAACTGTTTATGAAATAATCTAAATCCTTAGTTTTAATTTCAGTGATGTTCACAACCTTTCCATCAAGAGTGGATTCTGGGCCAGGCATGGTGGCAAACGCTTTAATATGAGCACATGGGCGGCAGAGGCACATGGATCTCTGTGAATTCCAGGCTAGCTTAGTCTACCTAGAGAGTTCCAGGACAGCCAATGTTACATAGAGAGACTTTGTTTCAAAAAACAAAACTAAAAACATAGACAGCAATTATATTCTGCCTTAAGAATCCATATTTTTGCTTAGAAAGAAATCCTCATCCCTACAGATTTTGTCTCATTGACCCAGTATATTAGGCTTAATTTAAAAAGTATGTAGTGATTCCGTTATCTGCTCATTTTTGCCTGTCTCTGTGTTTAGTTTGTTTCATTGGGACACATTCATTGCACATGGTACTGGTTTTCATAAGGATATTTTCATACAAGTATGCAGTACAACTTGAACATGTCTTGCCCTGGTTTGCTATTTGTTGCTGTAATAAGACACTGACAAAACAAGGCTTGGAGAGAAAAGAGTTCATTTTGTTTATACTACAAATGTCAGTCTTTCATTGAATGTTGTAGGGGTGGGACTCAAGCAGGAACATAGAGGCAGAATTTGAAGCAAGCTTCCTCACTGGTTTGCTCCCCATGGCTTGTCCAGCTTCTTTCTTGTATAACCCATGACTGCCCGTCCAGTGGTAACATTCCACACAGTGACTTGGCCCATACTCGTTTGTGCAAGCAAGCCTGATGGAAGCGTTATCTCTATTGAGCTTTCTTCTTTCTGGCCAACTCTTGTGTCAAGTTGACAAAACAGAACAGAACAAGCCCATACTCCCTCCCCTCCCATTTCTCCTGATCCTATCTCTTGTTAGCATCCTATGTTCTTTTCCACATTTAGTATACTATTTTTTTTTTAGTTTTGTATGTTCCACAATTTTCTATTGAATGCTGGATATCTACCGTAAATTTCAGAAAACACTGACTTGTGTTGTTTTTAATATAATTCCATTATGATCATGAAATTTGCAGTTTATGGAGACTCGTTTTGTGGCCAGCCATTTTATAGACTGACTTGGATAAATGTTCTGTTTGCACTTGAAAAAAAAAAAAACAAAACATTCTGTTGGTTAAAAAAAAAGTGTTCTATAAATGTCTTTGAGAACAACCTGGTTGATACATTTTAAAAAATTTTCTCAGGGTCTTCTGACTACTTTATCATTTATTGAGTCAGAAATACTGAGCTCTCTGGTTAATTGTGAATTTATCTGATTTTCTTTGGATTTTATAACCTTTTGCTTTGTGTGTTTTCTAACTTTCTTCTGATGCAGACATGTAGCACAACGAGCATTTTTCTGAACTAGTGTTCTGGCTCTAAACTTTCTCCAAAATATCTGGTGGAGGCTAAGGAAGGAACTTTAAGCATATGTCAATTCCTAGTGTGTCTGTGATTCTGCTGGTTTTATGTTCTAATAGTTCTTTTATGTGATCTTTAATTTTAAAAATGTGTCTTATTTTTTCTCACTTGTATGTTACTTAATATTTCTTCTTGCTACTGTCTTGTCATACAAGAGTCAGTTCTTACAGCTCATCTTTTATTCTCAGGCTTTATTTTCTTTGATATCAAGTTACTTGCTTGTCGTATAGTACCAGTTCTGTGGCAGATTTGACAAAGTTATAGTTTTGTGCTTTGTTGAGACTTTTCTTGTTGCAAGCAATGGACATTTCATTTTTCTACATTTGAAGTAGAAGTAACTTCTGAAGAATCAGACTTTCAGTTTTCAGATTACTTTGTTGGTGGTACATGAAGACACTGTGGTGGCATTTATAGAAGAACTTCCTCTTTCATATTAAAACAACATATTTTTTGATTAATTATAATTACAATTATTAATGAGTTGATTCAGTTTCATGAACATATTTTAGATTTCAGTAATGATGCTAAATTGCTTTAGATCTAAATATAGAACAACCCTGAAAGACAAATTTATCCTTTTTTATTATTAGAGGGCCCAATTTTAGTATGTGATAGAGTTAAGATTTCAACCCTTATCTTCTAAACTTCAAATTGCATTTAATATTATTGAAATTCTATTTCAAAATGCACGTTGATTTCTGCTTCATACTAGACTTTTTCTTGAATAGGCAATGATTCAGGAAATGAGGATGCCATTGGAGGGAATGTGAGCAAATACGTAGTGTTTCCAAATGGATACTCTGGACAACCCAAGAAAGGACATCTTACCTTTGATGCTTGTTTTGAAAGCGGTAAGTGTATTAAAAACTTTTATCTTTGAGTTTGTCTGAAAAGGTTGTTTTTCTGTGATCTATTCCAGTCTGACCATTGTGATTCAGTACACTTAATTTTTCACCAGAGTAGAACAAGTTTTTGGAGAAGAGTTAATTATGAAGAAACTAGCATTAACTTGGAAGTACTGGATTTTCACTGTTCTGTATATTATGTATGTAATATGGTGTTGTTGTTTTTTAAGAAAAATGGCATTGTTTTGGAGTATTATACATTTTTATATTTTTGAATGCCTACTCTATGCTTCATGAGTTTGAGAAACAGAATTTAGTCTTTCAGAGATAGGTTTCTTTGTATTTTTCAGACAATTATTAATTGATGTTAATATAAAATGTCTCTAATTATTACCAAGGTATATTTTCATATAAACAAAAAGTAAAATATAATCATTATGATTAGAGCACATTTGAATACAAACAAAGAACAGAAGTAATAATTTCTCATAATTCAAAGTTGTGTGAATAAGCTTAGAAATACTAGATTTTCACTGATCTTTATAATTAAATATATAATATTAATATTGCTGTTTTGGAATAAGACTGACACTATTCAGCAGTGTTATATTTTTTTCTTTGATCATCTATTCTGACTGGGTGATCAAGATTTGATTGCATATTCCCATTTAACAGGAACTGGCTTTTCTTAGCTTTCTATGTCTTTACCTTCTGAATAATGCAAAGTAGATTCTCAGAATATTCTGAAATATTAACAAGAAATGTAAACATAATTGTATTTGCAAGTAACTGTTAATTTCCTTTAGGGGTGTGTGTGTGTGTGTCTGTGCGCATGCATGTGCACTGATCTATCTTTCTGGAAACATAACTCAGTGTCAATTATATGACCATTCTTTGTACCCTGAAGATTTCTGATGACAAAAAATGGAAATTTTCTTTTATGGAGTATTTTTTGTTTTATAACTCTATATTTCCTTTGCTTAATATGGCTGATGTACAAGACATCATAAACTCAATAGATTAAATGAGGAAAAGTCATTGTCTCTTGGTTTTGCAGGGCAGAATCCTGAGATCAAGAGTAGTTTCCTTCATATGTTATGTGAAATCATATGTTCAATGATTCTTCCCTTGCTTTTGGTGATTTGTTATTAATTTTCTTATTCATTGGCCTGTAGAAATATTCTGATTTTGGCTTTAATCTTAATATGATATTCTCTATGTTTCTGTATCCCTAATTTCCACTTGATGCCAATCATATTGTATTATGCATTCTTAAATGATTTCAAGCTTAAGTACTTATACAAAGACTTCAACTTCTAGTAAAGTCATAGTCTAGTACACCCGGGATAAAGGTTTCAATATATATCATTTTAAGGGAATACAACAAACTATTACTCAGTATTGCAATGCTGTTCTTTTTTCATACTTGAATAATCTTTGCATAATTAGGAGCAGTGTTTTCTACAATTCTCAAGCTTATAATTATGCCTTTTCTGATATGTACTCTTTCCTAAAAAGTATATTTTATTGCTTTTACCTTAGTCAAGGACCCAAAGTCCCTTTACAATAATACCAATATTGCAAAAGTAGAGATTTTTCTTATTTTATCAAGTGTTTTGATTTAGTTACAACCTGATATAATACATAATAAAATAAATTAAAGAATCTCTATTCCTTGGGCACAATACAGATTTTCATACCTTATCAGAATGTTTAGTGTAAGAAATTTCCCAACATGACAATATAATTTCTGAATTATTAATACCTGTTTTAGAACATGTAGACAGTTGGTGATACCAATTACATATTGTTATAATATCCAGAAACACCCTCTTACGCATGTTTTATCTGAGAGTCATTTGTTCCAATTTGGTTGACACATAAAGTTAACTGTCATAGGAGAAGTAGCAGACCGAGCCCTTCATTTGGATATGTACATAAATATACAGCATGTGGTCTGAACAATTTAATGTAAACTGACAAAAATATGGTTGTGGATTTTCTGGGGTCCAATATGAGATAGATAAACCATTTTGTAAAAACATGTAGAAAGTCTTCCTAATAGGCTCCTGAATGGCGAACAGCATTGCAACAATGTATTCCATGAAAGTATAATTTGTAACATCCTTTCCAGTAGGCTGAGGGATAATGTTAATTGTTTATTGGTGATCGCAATATGTTAGACATTTCAAATAATTTGTTTGACATACACAGATTTCATATGATATAGTTTAATTCAAGAATTTATTTTAGGCTGTTTAACACAGGATAAAAGGTTGTTTTTTCCTCTGGTCAAGTCTTGTAGCTTCATAAATTGTTGTGCTGTAAACTTAGTCTCAGGTATGTCCACTCTTCTGGCATTGTAACAGTATTGTCATCTATAAAGTTCATTTTTGAGAACTGTTAGGGTCTTTTAAGTAAAGAATCATGTAGCCTACATATAGCAATGTTTAACTTCTTCCTTTCCTATTCGTATCTATTTTCTCTTCTCTAATTGTTATAGCTAGGATTTTGAGCACTATCTCAAATATGATTGGGAAGAGTGACATCCTTGTCCCTGACTTTAGAAGCAGTTCTCTTTTCTTCTTCATTTAATGTTAGCTATAGATTTATGTATATAGCCTTTATTATTATTATTTTTAATATTTATTTATTATATATACAATATTTTGTCTGTGTGTATGCCTGTAGGTCAGAGGAGGGCACCAGACCCCATTACAGATGGTTGTGAGCCACCATGTGGTTGCTGGGAATTGAACTCAGGACCTTTGGAAGAGCAGGCAATCCTCTTAACCTCTGAGCCATCTCTTCAGCCCTAGCCTTTATTATTTTGATGTATGTTCTGTCTATTCATAAAGTCTACAGAACTTCTATCATGTAGGCATGCTGCACTTTTTTAGTGTTTTCCCAATATCAATTGAAATGATATGTGGTTTATGTCCTTATATTGATTTATATGGTATATTATATTTTTATTTGAATCTGTAGGACCAATCTTGCCTTCCTGGGATGAAGCCTGCTTGGTTTTAATATATAATCTTATTTTTATAATTTTATTTTTGAGATTTATTATATAATCACAATATTTAATCCTTTCTTTGTTCCCTCCAAACTTTCCCATATACCTCTCTTTACTCTATTTCAATGCCATGACTCTTTATTTAGTTAATTAGTATTACATGCGTATATGTGCAGTCATGTGCCTATTCCTAAATATAACCTGTTTCATCTATATAATGTTATTTGTATGTATGTTTTCAGGTCTAACCATTTGGCAGTGAACAACCTATTAAGACCACTGACTTAATTAGTGTTTTTATTGTTGTGAAGAGACACCATGACCACAGCGACTCTTATAGAGGAAAACATTTAATTGACATGGCAGCTTACAGTTTCAGAGGTTTATTTCATTATCACATGGTAGGAAGCATGGCAGTATACAGGCATATGTGGTGCTGGATGAAGAGCTGAAAGTCCTACATCTTGCAGGCAAGAAGTTGACTGACTGTCACACTGAGGGAAACTTGAGCAAAAGAGACCTCAAAGCCCATCGCTGGCACTGGGATTTGTCTCTACTGCATGTACTGGCTTTTTGGGATCCTAGTCTGAATGGATGTGCACCTTCCTAGGTCTAGATGAAGTGGGGAGGCCCTTGGACTTTCCACAGGGCAGAGTACCCTGCCCTCTCTTAGGACTGGAGTGGGAGAGGAGAGGGTGAGTGGAGGAGCAGGAGGGAAATGGGAGGAGGGGAGGAAGTGGAAATTTTGAATGCTATTATTTATAAAGCAATAAAAATAAAAAAAAGCCCATCACTGCAGTGACACACTTCTTCCAACAAGACCACACCTCCAAATAGTGCCACTTTTTTTAGGTGCTATTTTCTTTCAAACTACCAGATTCTCCTCTTTTTTGCCCAAAGTCCATATCATAATGCAAAAAAAAAAAATTAAGTCTAACATTTTATGCCCTTTTAGTCTATAATAGTCTCAACAATATTAAACCTCCAAAATTCAGTCTCTTCTGAGATTCATGCAATCTTTTAACTCTAATCCCCTGTCAAAGCAAGATCAAAAAATTGATCACATACTTCAAATATATAATGGCACAGGATATACATTATCATTCCAAATACAGGGAAGGCAACATACCTTAATCAAGATCAGAAATATATATATGTATATATATATATATATATATATATATATATATATATATATATATAACCAAATTGACCTTAAATTTATATCAACAAAGCAAAATCCATACCAATGCAAATTATTCATATCTATATCATATCCCCCTTTAAACAATATTTGGGAATAAAGAAAACACAATAATACACAGAAAAGCAGTACTTAAATCATTCTACTGCTTTCCAAAACCAAAGTTCCAAATTCCAAATGCCTTCAAGCAAATACATGATCTGACCTATCACAGTAATATCCTAGTCCCTGGTACCAATTTTTGTCTTAGTTCAGTTTCTGTTGCTGTGATGAGACACGGTAACACCAGTAATTCTTATAAAAGAAAACATTTAATTGAGGTGGCAGCCTACAGTTTCAGAGGTTCAGTCCATTCTCACATGGTGGGGGAGCATGGCAGCATGCAGGCAGACATGGTGCTGGATGAGAGTGCTAAATCTTGCAGGTAACAGGAAGTTGACTGACTGTCACACTGAGAGGAACTTGAGCATAAGAGACTACAAAGCCCACCCCCACAGTGACTCACTTCCTACAACAAGGCCACACCTTCAAATAGTGCTTCTTTCTTTTGGGGCCATTTTCTTTCAAACCACAGCAACCACATTTCCTTTTCCTACCTATTATAGGAGGTTGCTTGTTTGTTTCCTGGCCACCCAGACTCCGGAAATAATCATACAGAAACCATATTATTTAAATCACTGCTTGGCCAATCACTTAACCATATTGCTAGCTAGCTATTATGTCTAAAATTAACTCGTTTACATTCTTTTATACTTTACCAAGAGGCTTGTGGCCTATCAGTAA